TGCTGTTTATATAATCTATAGACACTACATGCTCTGATGCGTTCCCACCCAATAGCACTTACAACAAATTATATGGGTGACCTTTTCAGATTGGCTAAGCTTAGCCCAAAATCCACAAATCTAGCCGAGATAAAGCACAAGTTAAGCAAATGGCTGCTTTTCTACGAGTATGCCTTCTTTAGGCGAAGTAAACTGCGCAAATCCAAAAAACTGGCATGATAGTCAGTCACACACACACACACTCTCGCGCGCGCGCGCGCGCGAAGTGGATGGATCGTTGGCCTCTTTTCGTACTCCCGGATTAAGTGGTACTCGAAGCGTCCAAACCGAACCCGTGCAGCAGGTGTGTGGTAGCGGCGTCCACCCCTGCATCAGTTCGTCGACCCTTTCCGAGCCGGGAGAACGAATGTTCAATGGGTGGTGTGGGCGAGAGAGCAACAAATCTCTGGTACTGCTCCTGAGCCTCGCGCGGCTGCGGAGCATATGTATGTACATTCCTGATCACAGCTTTCGGTACTCGCTCGATGCTGTCACTTCGCATCGAAATTTTGAGTTTTGGGATTTGGGGTTTTTGGAATTCTCGATTTTTCGAGTTTGGGATTAATGATTGCTCACATTCGGGGTTTTCCTACTGCATTCCCCCATCTTTCCAAGCAACATCATGTATACGAGGGCGACCCGAAATGTGCCCCTGTCAAAATTTCACTACGTCCTAACTACTCGAAAAGAACTGACCCAGTTCCAGAAAAATCAAGAAGAATCCAAAACGGACGGAACAGTGTGCAAGTTCAACACAAAGCCAAAGCCTGGCCCGATTGAGTCCGGGACGTGGCACCGTCCGCTTTGGATTTTTGACATTTGAGAATTCGGACATGGTCCGTTTTGGATAAACCCTAAAACCCTAAACAATAAACCCTAAGCACTAAATTTCGAACTTTTGGACTAAGACATGGCCCGGTCCATTTTGGAACTTTCGGCATCATCGGAAGGACGCGTACCTTTCAAGAACTGTTGGATGCTTTATTTTCGAAGTGTGGTGAAGTAGGACATGGTCTGTCCGTTTTTTTAATTTTGGAATCTCGGACTCTTCGGAAAGATGCCTGCCTAGCAGAACATGTAGTCTAGAATGCACACTAACTCATATTGCACCAGGGCCGGAGAATTAAATTAGGATATGTTTTTTGTTTTTTTTTGATTTTTTTTTGTTTCTGGGTTTAGGGTTTAGGGTTTAGGGGTTTAAGAGGGTTTAGGGTTTAGGGTTGAGGGTTGAGGGTTTAGGGAATGGGGTTTAGGGACTAGGGTTTAGGGATTAGGGTTTAGGGATTAGGGTTTAGGGTTCAGGGTTTGGGGTTTAGGGTAGTAGTAGTACCAGAAGCAAGGACAAAAAAACCCAAAAAAAAAACAAAAACATCCTAAAAAAAATAGACCTCCTATTGCAATTACATACCACTGTACTTTACCTATTCCAAGTACTATTGTAGTTGGCTCTAGGGGGTGCCACCACATATGTATACATATACAAAAAAATTGTCTGTAAAAATGCGTGTATATATGGGTTTTAAGGTTCAGGTTTAGGGTTTTAGGGTTCGTGAAATTGCTACCACAAACACAACCGACCAAAAAAGGCAAACATCTAACCTGTCAGAGGGCGACCTGAATAAACAAGCTTTTGCCCTAAACCCTACACCCTAAACCCTAAACAGGAGGGAGGCCTCTTCATAGCCACCTGCAACGCTCAGCTTGGATTTTTAAGGCGCGGAAGGATGCGTGATCACAGTTGCCGGCTGCTGAGCTACTGTTAGGAAGCGGGTGTATTCTCGGCACGGCAGCGGGCCAAGTGCATGTCGGGGTTGATCTATCTCATTGATTTATGGGCCCTTGTTTTGCTCTCTAGTTAAGGTATAAGACGTGTTCTTATGTTTGAGGGTGCAAAAAAAGACGATCAAACATGCATGTGTTGTCGGGTGTTGCTGCAATGCCCAAGCAAGGCCTTGCCAGTGGAATCGAACGAAGATCACCGTCAGGTTGTCCTGCACGGCAAGTCAGGCTGGCAAAAAGCCACAGACACGCAGGGAGAACCAAGCAAGGCTAAGCGAACGTGCAGCCAATACATCAGCTTCTTGCCGTGGGCCTCGCTGCCACGTTTGTAGGCTTCCTGCACCAGCGCGCCGCACGCTATTCGACAGCCTTGAGAAGAGCGAGTGCAGAATTACGATTTCAACCATGCTACGACTAAGAATGGGACTAAGACTAGGACAAATACCACTCACGACAGACAAGACAAGAAGAAAAGCAGATGACTTCGAAAGACTGCTGTTTCTGGCACCCTGGATGAAATCTTGCAAGTTGCCCCTGTCAGCTCCTGAAGCATGTCGCAGCTTTTTCATCCTTAAACCCTCCAAGGGCCCCGACGCTTTACCGGGTCAGGAGGGCCAGGTCTGCGCATCTCCAGCTCCCCGCAGATCTGGAGAAGCAATGTTGCATCGCTCCGCATGTTGCACACCAAGTTGCCCAAACATCAGTACACCCTGCCTCGTCATCTTGCATCACGTCTGTGATGCCATCACACATCAGCGCCATGAACATGTGCGTCCTGCGACATTGCCAGAGCATGGCCCTACGTTGCTTTCGTGCATGGTGCAACACTGGGAACGGAGAGAGGTCCTATCGAGCTCCACACACCTCACGTCGGGGGTGGCGACCAGGAGCCCCTTGCCCGTGACTGCCTGCCAGTTTGCTCGGAACTCCGAGGTGCTCTGAAAAGAATTGGACTGGAACTGCCACCAAATGTTGCCGGAAGAGTCTACGACAGCTTCCTGCACAGACATACAACGCCTTGAAGTCACGGTCGCCAAGGGCTCTGGACACTGCCAGCGCGACGGGCTCCTGAAAATGACAGGGCGGTACTTTGAGCCTCTGACGGGCCCTAAGTCTTGCTGTAGAATGGGCCTTATCATGCTCTATCCATGAACAAGACCTCAAGGACCAGTGCCCAAGTGTGCCCGAAGGCTCCGAGTGCTAATCACAGAACTGCCTTCCCGGCAAAGCCCATGCCAAGTGCTTGCTGCCGCCGGATTTCCCGCATCTTCTCCTGGTCGAGAGCACTCGATGTTGCTAGGGAGGCATGGGCAGACTTGATGAAGCTAAGGGCACGATGGGACAATTCTAAGTGGCAGGGTTGGTGCACTTAGTGCGGTTCAAGCAAACAGCTGCGACCTCGTAGCCGTCGTGAGCGACTCTGTACCTTGGCGCCAGCTGAAGCAAACAGCTGCGACGGCTTTTGATGCTTTCTTCTGCATTCGGCATTGCAACCTTCGGCTTCCGAAGGTGGGGGAGGTCATCCTAGCTCAGCTCACCAGCAAAAAGAAAAACATCAGACTCATGTCCTGCATCATGTAGGTTGCCAAGTGTGTTGCATGGGCTTGCGTCGAACCCTGAAGGGGCAAAATGCTGAGGACAAGCACACGCCCATCCCGAAGTCTAAGACGATGCCGCCGGCTTCTTTGACCCTCTGCGCCTCTCAGAACATGAACTGTTCATATCCAGCCCATGGTTGGGAACTTTAGCTGGAGAGCATTTCTATCTGAATCTATCTGACTCTGCTACGTGGCTGCATGTTACTGCGCTGCATGATCTGCCTCAGCCTCGAGGTTCGGCCGATGATCCTGTGACCCCAACCACCAGCGACTTCAGATGATACTCATCGTCAGAGAGCTGCTCTGAAGTGCGCGTGCCTTGCTGCTATGATGCTGCTATGCTCGAATGGTGCTATGGCTGTTTGCAAGTCTTGGAAGTCTCGGTGAAAACGCTGTTTCCGGAAAAGCTTTGCTGGAGGCTGCGGTCAAAGTCCGATCAACAGCATACTTGAGAGAGTGATTTGCGTCGGTAGGGCGACCAGCATCCGACAGGCATCCCGGGCGGCTCTGATGGCGTTTGGGACGCGAGATGCGACAAAACGAGGAGGATGGGTCAGCGTGCTGGGATTGCTAGACTTTGCCACAGGATCCAAGCATGCTTGTCAGCACAGGCACCCTGGCTCTGCCCCAGAAGTTTATGAAGGACATGCAAGCCGCAGGTCCCCAAAGGCGGAGGGGCTCGTCCAATCCAAGGATTCCACATGCTGCGCCCTTTGAGAGGGCCATCACAGCTCAAGGGTCGTGAGGACCAGGATAGCAGCACACATCGGAGTGACCGCGTCGGTCTCTTCAGACAGAGCATCTTGCAGCCGCAAGCAGGCGAAGGAGAAGGCCCCACACAGCATCAAGCAGGTAAGCGCACCGAGAGAACCCGAACAAAGCACCCAAAAAGGCAGAGAGGCACAGAGCACCAGGGGCACAAGAGCGCATCTACAAGGCCAAATGTCGTAGCATTCTCGAGAAGTGTGCCAGTTGGGAATCAAGGAGCTCACAATGAAAGCTACTGGACTGGGCTGTGAATTCTCAGCAGCTAAACCCTCAGTGAATTATCTAGCTCTTCCCGTGGTAGAGAACTCAAGCTTGCAGCTTGCAGTGAGTCCTTTGTGAGGGAGACCGCCAACATCTGTTGGAGCTGCGACCTGGCACAAAGACGCCTTATTCGGCATTCATGTTCTCATTTCCAAAAACACAAAACCTCCCAAACCTCACCATAAAGTTAAAAAGCTGACACAAAGTGCCCCGGCCTCTGACAAAGCACCACCCTCGAATCTCCCACCTTGACAGGATTTTAGAGGCAGCTCATGCGAGATGAGACCCATCGCGCACATGCTCCTCACATCGCCCCATGCCCCTCAGGCTCTGCACCCAAGCCGTGAAAAGCTTGGTGCCGACGATGAGTGCTACAACCTTGGCACGCTGCATGGGGGTCATGCAAAAAGACAGATCTTGGCAAGCTCAACGCAGACGAAGCGGATCATGTTTAATCATTACATGCAAAGGTGAGCAAACAGGTGCAGCACTCCCCCGTTGATGTGGTAGCCCTTCTGGAATTCTCAAAATCAGCTGCATGCCGGCGCAGGAATGTCTATCGGCGACTGAGATCAGGTGCTTGACAATCGATGCTCTTGTAAGTTTGTCGTGTTCTTGCAAGCTACGTGTACTTTTCTGAGCAAGCTAATGCCCGGCAGCTTTGGTCCGCTACTTGTCACTCTGGGAGTTATTCTCGCCAATAGAGAAAGCATCGCCGGCTTCTTTCTGGAGGTCTAGCAGAAATTGAGAACCAACTCGCCGATGCTAAGTGTCGGCTGAATCAAGTATCAAGAGCTAAACTAAGACGTAGCCAAGGTGACGAACTGTGCCCAGCTGTAATGGAAGCGACTGCACTGCTACGACCTACCGGCTGCATCCGCCGCGTGATGCGCTCGAGTTCATGCTTTTGATTGGTCGCTTGTTTGGTGCCTCTTGCAATCTACGCGTCTTCACCACAAGGCGTGGCCTTCTTCTGATCTTGAGACGGTACATATCCGAGGCCAGAGCCAGTGTGGTGCCATCAGGCGAAGTCCTGAACTTCGCGAGAAACTCCGTGTCCAACTCCTCTCAGGTCGACAAGTGCTCGACCGAAGCTCAAAACCGGAGACTTCCGCGACTCTACGGCTGACGCACCTCACAGACTTCTGTCAAGGCACCGCCTCAGCTCGATCGACATCGCTGGCCAGGGCAGGGGCAGCAACATAGTATCTGACATATTTTTCTTGCATGCAGTTTGCAAAAGGCCGACATGCTGGCATGCTTGAGCACGCCACTGATCCGCGCTTCGTCCCAGGCTCCAGTGTCCGTATCCGCTGACAACTGCACAGCAGCTATGTCCAATGAGAAACCAGCGACAAACTACAACACTCCAATTCAAACCCATCTGGTGGCGGGGCACCCGCTTGAGTAGCTTCACATGGAAGCCCTTCGCAACGAACTCGGCACACTGGTGGCCCTGCAGCATCATAGGACGCAGATGGGGAAAGCTCTAGTCACATAATTAGAAGTAGCGCAGCAGCAGTCGGGCTAAAACACCGAGCCTGATGTCCGTCGTAGACGGAGAAGAAAGCACAAGGCTGTGGCAAGTGGTCGATCGGCATCTTCAGCGCCTGATGGCATACATTAATCAGAAGATGTCTGACACGAACTTGCAAAATCTAAGTGACAGAAGAATTCACTAACAGCTGTATGGTGAACTCGCCTTTGCGGCCTTTGTCAGGTCTGGAATCTTCACATGTCGATCCTGCCAGCATCTGCCCCTCGTGACTTCTGTGACTTCCAAAGGGGTTACCTCTCCTCCTGTTTCGGCCGCCGGCCCTGCATGGATGCTGAGTCCACAGAGAAGGAGAAGGGAGCCACAGGCACCCTGGCGCACAAAAAAGGGATCCACTGGCCAGAGCTCCCGGTCAACTGGCATTTGCTATTCTTGCTGTTTTATGCTATTCAATACTCGTGTGTACAGCGTACCGAACAACTGCTCGTTGCCAACTACATAGTTACCGGATTTCGGCATCCAGCAGTCGAGATTTTCTGCGAGAAAAGGACATGCCAGGGCCGGCGGCACCGATGCTGGTGGCGCATCCCTTGGCAGTGGGATAGGGGGACACGTTGCCCGAACATGCATACGCTTTCACGCTAATCTATTTACTCAGCAGCACAGCAGCCAGAAGCAAAGCATCACAAGCGGTTGATAGTCACATATGGTCACTTTGTCATAATTCTGACCAGACTGGAAGGAGCTCTGGCCCGCACTCGGCGGCCAGTTCTCGGCGAAGCGCATCGAAGTCAACCTACCGCGATGACGTGGGCAGGATTTGGCATTGCTTCACCTAACGCCTATCAAGAACCCTTTTTCGCGAAGGGTGCCATACACACATCCTGCAAACACAGTGCGCAGGTTTGTAGACGTTCATCATTCACGCAGTACATGCATCTGGATACATTCACCCCAAGCCCAATTTGCTGAGCTGCTGAAAGTCCCGGCCCTTCCCTGATTCTGCCTCGGGCAGGCCGGACTCTTCCTGGCTTGAGGTCTCTTGCGGCCTCTAGGCTAAGGACCTTCTGATAAGTGTTGTCGCTGCCCTCTAGTAGGCTGTGGCCTCAGACCACAAAGGCAGAGCCCAGTCATCAGATGTGCTTACAGGAACCCCTGCATGACATTCATGGCTTTTTGCGTGTACTCGTTCAATCGGAGCACAAGACTGCCAGAACCTGCTACGCAGGGTCTGGAGGAAACGAAGCAGCATCCGTCGATCTCTGACTTTGTCACCCGGCCAGCTCTCCAATCCATTTTGGCAAGCCAGCATCGGGCGATCAAAGTCGTACAGACAGTTGCCGTCCGGAACGAAAGCAACAACGCGTCGTCGAAAGGTGAATTCACCCCCCCCCAGCTCCCCAGTCCATTCTGGCAAGCCAGGTTTCAGGTGATTGGGACCAGAAAGCCAGTTTTGCATGCCCCAAGTACTAGCTTACTAGCTTGGATACAGCTTTGCAAGTACAGGGTGCTTGTGGTCGAGCTCTGCGCTCTGCAATGCAATTACTTGCTCCTCCGGCCTCTCCATTGAAAGTTGCACAGAGCTGGGGTGAGCTGCCCTTCATGGGCAAGGTTCCCCAACAGTTTAAAAGGCTGTACTATTTCTTCCTACCTTCTTTGCAGGCATTCGCAAAAGGTAGGCGGGCTAGACAAGGTTCAACGCACAGGTGACGCCTAACCCGGGAACCTATCTCTGCACAAGCTCAAACCGACACCTCGGAGTTGACTGCGCTGGGCCTGGAAAACCGACAGGGCAGGCACCTCCCTGTTGTCGCCTTCCGGTAGCTCATCATCAGGACATTCAGCCCTTGCAGCCGGAAGATAAGGAGGAGGATGAGCAGCGCCACAACATTGTAGAAGATCGTCTCGTCGGGCGTGTCCCCACGTGGCCAAATCCTGCAAAAACTGCGCCCTACCAAAAAGTTGGGGGTGTTTAGACCCAAATGCCGTCAACGCAACATAACCCATAGTTCCGAAGAATTCAGCTTTGGCTCTCATCCATGGCCAGGAACCGAAGCGCATCGTCGCAGGTCAGAGTGGGGCAAATCCCTCCCGAGGCTAGCTTCTCGTGGGCGGTGCAGCAGAAGTCCTTACATACGCTCTAAGTCGATTTGATTGCAAATTTGTCTCTGCTGCCCTGGCATCACATTGCAACCGGCACCTGCAAAACATGCCGGATAAATCATGGAAAGGCCCACCACAACCGTGCGGTGCAAACGACCCTCCTAATCGCACACGCTCAAAGCGTTGGTTGCCTCTCCCTCGAGACTCTTCTAAGCATAGGCACACGTAAGCTGTCTCACGTGCTCACCTTCGATTGTGCTTTGCGACACACGTACAATGTAGATTGCAGATGGGAGTCGCAAGGGGACGCACTGCACTGGTTAGGGTCAGCAACACGCCAAACTTGAGCATCGCAGTCCTTCAGGCCATCAAATGTGTACAGGCGGCTTTGGAGGTCAGGCCCTGTGAGTTCCTAAGGGCATGTCATTTAATCCCGGATCAGCTTGGATTTGGAGTAGAGGGCCCCCGGGTTGCCGCACGGCATCGGGTCCTGCTTGGCAGAACAAGCAAACTCGTTGGTCACTGTGGCCTGGACCTCGGCTGTCGTATCTCATCGAAGCTAGCTGTAAGCTCCTGCCTGTACACAAACTAGCCGTGCATCTGGGTGGGCTTTGACAATCCGTCTAAGTGCAGCTGAAGTACAGCATAGCGTGCAACCATAAGATAGCTCAGGGCATTGAAAGGCTGGACTAGATCCTCCACCTGCTCCAGAGTTGCTTCCAGTCTTGTTGAGTGCCGAAAGTACGGTGATCTTTTGAAGCATACCCTTCTTGAGACTTGTCAAGGGCCCAGGAAACATGACCCATCCTTGATGAAAATGCCAGCCAGCAGCAGCCTCAGGCTGCAGTCCCTTTTGATGGGGCAAACTTGAAATCAGCTCCAGTGACGACGGGATATCACGCTACTAGTAACTTACTAGTACAGCCAAGTAGAAAGGGGTGTCTGTAGCTTTCATGCTTGCCATCGAGCGACTGTGGCATCACAAGGCCTGGCACCTCAACCAACGTGACATGTCGATGTATATTGGAAAATATTTCCAGATGTCAGCCTACTGCTCGTCTGAGGATTGGACAATCGACAATGCAATGGTCACGCTGGGCACAGCAGCGGACACCATGAATCCCACGCCTGCGGATGACCCTTCGCTAGCTCTCACATTCTAACGAGCGCATGGTTTCTAATCCGAGACGGGAGGGTGGGCAGCACCACAATGACAAGTATTCTTTACAGCATGGGACATTCACACCAACATCAGTCCAAGAAGGCCTGCACCACAATTGGAAACGATGGCCATGATGAAGTAGAACCACAGCACTCTATCGGCACTCTCGGCATTCAGGCCGATAAGCGGATAGGAAACGGCAACGACCAGGATGGGAAACAGGCTCTGCAAAACGGTATCAATTGCGACTTTGGCCAGGTAGAAGGCTGCTGGGTGGTAAAGCTTGTCTTGCGTCTCACGCAGAAAGACAGCCCTCTCTGCTGGAAAGGCATTCGCGACTCCGAGGATGGCGAAAAGGAACTGGGCAAAGACCAAGAGGAAGCTGGCGAACAGGCGAACCTGAATGCTGGACATGTTGCGCTCGAGCTGAACGAAGATCAGCCCGATGAGCAGGGCAGCCGCTATGGACTGCACGGCTCGCACGACGGTGAGAGTCTTGTTGCGCTTCACATTCACAGCCTGAACAGCAAGCAAGTGTAGGCACCGAGGCATGCTGGCCGTACGATACGGAACGGATGACACTCCCCGGGCTCTTTTCTCCAGTATATGTGTAGAGACCGTGAATGACAGGCCTCGCGCTGAAAGAGGACGGCCAGCTGTTTGCAGAAGCCAGCTCGCCTGACATGGGATGTTCTTGCACGAAGGCGGTGCTGATTTTTTCGGCCCCGGCCTGGCAGTTGGCATCTCCGATCCCGCTGGGCTGAAGACAGTGTCATCCTTGACCTCGGGTCTTGTTCGTCTTCTTTTGGAATATGGAAACGGAGTTCTCTACTGTTGGAGCCCGAGGCGCGCTGGAGTCGGTCAGGACCTTCAAGTTCTGGAGTTTTTTCTCGTGCTCCTCTTTGTCATTGCCCTCTGCAGGCTTTTCGAGGACATCCAGCAGCAACTCCGGCAGAGGCGTGCCAAGCGGACACTGGAACCCCAGGTTGCTCAAGGAGTCGCCTCAGCCGAGCCGGACCAAGGACAAAGCGCGGCCACCCAAAAGGGAAAGAAACTTCGCCGCGCGCTGAAAATTCGAAAGGATTTTCCCCCCAAGTCAAGCCAAGTCACGGAGGCCCTTGATGGGCCCGTAATAGGCCGTCTGGCCGGACGCCAGCAACAAGACCTTGTCAAAGCGGCTGAAGACCAACTCTGACGGCTGGTGGATCGTCGCGACCACCGTGCAGCCCTGCTCCGCCACGGTCTTCACCTGACCAATAATCGAAGACAAAGCTGCCAGAATAATCCCCCTTATCAGCCCCCTCTCCCCTCCCTTGCATTCTACAGCAGGCGAAAACGCAGATGACAGCTGAAAGATGCTGAAAGGCATCCCGGGCACATCCTTCATCAGGGAGTCCGACATCTTGGAGTCCAAGCCGCTGGTGGGCTCGTCGAGGAGCAGCAAGGCAGGCTTGCCGATCAAGGACAAGCCCACATTGGTGCGCTTCCGCTCTCCCCCGGAGATGCCCCGGACCAGCCCAGGTGAACCCACAACCGTGTCAGCACATTTGGCCAAGTTCCTTGGTGAGTGCGAGGATGTCTCGAAGCACCAGGCACAGATTGTCAAAAGAAAGCAACCAGCCCCATGAGAGGTAATCCCTGGCCAAGCCTAGCTGAAGTGTGCCAAGAATCAGCTTGGCGATGACATCGTCCACAACTTCCTTTTGCTGCGCTTTCGTGAGCTTTGGGAGAATGAAAGATGCCGCAAACGTGAGGTTCTCACGAGGCGTCAAGGTCTCGTACCTGAGCTTGCCAATTTAACCTGAAGTGTCTGCAGTTGCTTGGTGCATTCGTCGGTCTGTGTTCAGCGGCATGTCAGCTGGCTCTGCTCCTGGGCAAAGCGCCGAACAGCCTAACTTTCGATGTGAGACAAGGGACATGATGTCGTCTTGGGTCACATAGCCGATGTTGCTGCGCACTGTCCCTAAACTTTTGCCATTGTAGCTGATGCCTCTCAGGTTTTCTTCTGGCACGCGTCGCTGTCAGCACTGACACTGCATGCTGCTTATCTAAGCGCCTCCGCTCACACTGCCCATGATGCTTCTGCCCACCATGCTATTCAGCAGGGTGGTCTTGCCGGCTCCGGAGGGCCCCATCAGCGCCACCATGTCACCCGGCTGCACGAGGCAACTCACCTGCCGATCAACTGCTCCAAAAGCTTCTATTGGCTTGCTGAGCCATGCTGAGCCAGGGGCAACCATACAAGCCCTAGCACATGTCTTCGGAGTGTTTCTATCACACACTGTGAAAAAGATCATCCTCCTCCCTGCTATCCTGCACCTCCCTCTCACATATTGTCATGTTGTAGTCTTGTGGACCACTTCGACAGCTTGGGGCTTTTGGGGCCGAATGGCCTCTGAGAGCAGCTTGCGACCTCCAGCGACGGTGATCGTCAGAGAGTCCACCGAGACGTTCATGGTGCTTCCAGGCCGTGTTGGCAGGAGGGAGCTTGTCTTCTCTTTGAACCACTGTGCGCTACCCAGGTGCATTTGTGTAGGTGAATGCAAGCATGTGTAATCTAAGCTTGGCTGCCTGCATTGGAGTTCCTGGCTCATCCCCTCATACATCAGACAGGAACAGCATGGAATTTCATGCTTAGGTTTATGGCATTGCCGAGGCTTAGGTCGGCACGGTTTTGCGCAAGAGCAAAACAGAAATTCAACGAGCACCAAAGCGGCAAAAGGCACCTCCTTCTCGGGTTCGGCGGCTTCCTTCGCAGGTTCCGCCTCCTTTGCATCCTGGAACCGGTTTGGGGGCGGAGCCCCCTTTCACAAGCACAGCAACACACACGGGCAGCCTAATTCTATTGAAGGCAGGAAGGAGTGGACAGCTCGAGCTCTGCGCAACAACTCTCAAGGACTGTGCGGCACACCATTGCACAGCCTTTTTCTGAGCGGGGCTCAAGCCAAAGCATAGGCAAGTAGGCAGATGCTTCATGTTCTTTTTTGCCAGGGAGTTTGCAGGCAGAGATCGTCGGCGTCGTTGCTTCTCCTCCTCTTGTGGCGTTCCTACGTCGCACCTTCCTGGCCGAAACTCGAGGGACGTGCTTGCCGCGCAGGGGTAATCTCCCACCGGCTTTGGAAACGGAAACTGTCGTGCACTCGAGTTCCTGCACAGTCTGGCCTTGAGGCGCTTGAACAGCAATGGGGATCGGGCTCGGTACACTGCACCTCCTTGCATCTCCTGCATGCTCCGATTAAGCTGTTGGGAAGGGTTTGACAGTACCCTGTGAAAGTGGAGAGCGAGATGCAAGCATGGCACAGGCCGTGGAGCCCACTCGTTCGGCTCTAGCCCCTAGTGCCCTTGCCAGATCCTACCATGACACCTCGTCAGAGGGTCAGGCCGGCATGTGAGAACGGGGAGAACCCTTGGCTACTCCCTGGAGCTCTCATGCTCTCATTCCCTTGCCCACGTCACATTCGCAAGCATCCACAGACACTTTGTTCAGATGCTGTAGATGACGCCGGCGCCCTCAGCGCCCTCGGACTCCAGATCCGGCTCCGGCTCCCGATGAAAGCCAAGGGACATCCGCGAGGCACGGATCGCATCTGGGTCCTGGTGCACTCCACAGGGCTTTTGCCAGCAAATCTCTCTTTCTGCACTGTGTGCCATCGTGTGCCACAGTTCTAGAAGCCCGCTACAAGTAAGCTCTACAGGCTCTGTAAGTCTATAAGCTCTAGACATCTAAGCCACTGGAACAGTGATGGTAACGTGTGGTGCAACACGCACTCAGGGCCTGAAGCTGGGGCTTCAGAAGGTCCCGCAGCTCCCTCAGCAGTGCCACTCGCTCTCGGCCGTAAGGCCCGGCGGAGAAGGCGAAACTGTGTGCCAAGCCTGCAATGTTCTTCGAGTGCAGACAAAGTCTCCTACAGGAGAGTTCCTCTCAGATCTCAAAGAACTCAGGCTTGCTGTGCGCCGGCCTCGATCCACGTCAAGAAATACATCTGGATGCGTCAGCAGGCGCGCTTGCCCGTCGATCGGACATCGCTGCAGCAGCCACCTGCAGGGTGTGCGCAAACGGGATCAAACGAGGGCGCATACCGGCGCACCGTCGAAATCAGTCCCGTATGCAATTTTTCTTCGGGCTCACCGGCCACACTCGCCGGCCTTGAGAGCGGAATGCCGCCGTTGTCCAGTTGACCGCGCTCTCGGCTCCCGTAGGAGATCGCATCCACAACAGAGTTGTGGACAAAGATCTGGAGCAAATGCCCTGGGTTCTCTGGCTGTTGAAACAGGTGCCAGCTGGGCACACGAAGCCCATACTTCCTTGGCTCAGGGCTGTCTCCCATCGAACAAGAAAGAGGGTGTGCTTCCCTACTTGTTGCAGCGAAACTGACAAAGGCCCCCCTCACTCGCCCCCAGCATGTCTTTGCACTCAATCCGAGTCAACGCTCAAGCACCTCCATAAGCTCTCTTCGGTGAGTCGTGTGGAAGTTGCCCTGCCGGCGACCCCCTGCCCTGCCCAGCCTCCTATTCTTTCGGCTGTGCAAGGCGCAGATGGTTGGCCAGGGCCGAGGCGGCCGCGCAGCGTTTACAAACACGTGTGTGCGTGTGCGCGCGCACTCGGACAGCTCGAAATTTGATGAGATCTGGTGAGAAATCTTCGGAAAAGGCTCCGTCCCAGTGCCAGGATTGACGTGACCAAAGGGTCCAGCCCTTGCATCTGGCCACTGCTAATGCCGGCAGCCAGCAGGATGTCCTTCAACATGCGCCGCCTCAGTGTCTGAGTCCCAAAAAGAATCTCATGGACAGCGAACAGAGGCAACAACGAAGCCGCACCAACAAACAAAACTTGCATCTCAGGCACATCGCACTGGATGAAATGTTGTTCGGGAAACCCCGCAGCAACCAGGCTTGAAGCATGTTCTGAGTGTGTCCACCAGAAGCGAAGCAGGAGCAGAAGGCAGAAATTGCAACAGCCTCGCATGTGCAACAAGTAGACGCTTCAGCACACCTCGACTCCTGCATCTTCAATCTGATGAGGCTAGATACACGCCGGCAGAATCACAGGCTATCTTGATGTGTCTTCACACATGCTGAAGGAGCTTCCCACCTGAAACTCAGTTGTCTGGTCACGCATCGTGCTTTCCCAGAGCTGCAGCAAATTCTGCAAGCTCTTGATGTTCTGGTATGGCTGTCGTCTCAAGCGCATGACAGGAGGCCCATCAATCGGATAGTCCAGAATGCATGCAGCGAGTGCTGTCTGCACTTCGTACAGCAGGCAGGAGCTCGAGTAGCTGTGGTAGAATACCACATACTCTTCTGAGTACCGGAGCTCGTTTTCCAGCATTTCATGCATGATTTTGCCCACTGTATCGCTTACTATGGGTCGCAGAGGCTTGACCAGCGCATGGAATAGATCCGACGCATCAGAGCGACCTAGGGCTAGTCTGCCGCAGGTCATGAGAAACATGCTCAAAGCTTTCAAGTTGCAGGTCTGCGGATGACAGTTAAGTAGGCTCAGCGAATCACAACAAATGAAACAAATGAAACAAATGTCTGTGTGTGTGTGTTTTTTTTTTGTGTGTGTGTGTGTGCGTGTGTATGTGTGTGTGTGTGTGTGTATGTGTGTGTGTGGGTGGGTGGGTGGGTAGGTGGGTGGGTGGGTGGGGTGCGTGCGTGCCTACGTGCGTGCGCGGGCGTGCGTGCATGCGTGCGTGGGTGGGTGCATGGGTGCGTGGGTGCGTGGGTGGGTCGGTGCGTGCGTGAGTGTGAGCGTGCGTGCGTGCGTGGGTTGGTGTGTGGGTGTGCTTGCGTGCGAGCATGGGTGGAGGCGTGCGTGGGTGGGTGCGTGGGTGCGCGGGTGTGTGGGTGTGTGCATGCGTGCGTGGGTGCGTGGGTGGGTGTGTGGGTGTGTGGGTGTGTGTGGGTGGGTGGGTGAGTGGGTGGGTCGGTTTGGGTGGGTGGGTGAGTGGGTGGGTGGGTGACGGTGGGTGTGTTCGTGCGTGTGCCAGCGCGCGTGTGCCAGCGCGCGTGCACACATGTGTGCACACGCGCGTGTGCCTGCACGCGCCTGTGCGCCCGCGCGCGGGAGCTCCTGCGGGCGCCTGCGCGCGACGAGCGTGCGCGCAACCTGCGCGCCAGCGTGCGCGCAACCTGCACGCGAGCGTGCGCGCAACTTGCGCGTGAGCGTGCGCGCAAGCGCGCGCACGAGTGTGCGTGCTAGTGTGCGCGCAAGCACGCACGCGCGAGCGCGCGCCCACGCACGCGCAAGCGTGCGCATGCGCAGGTGCGCACGCCTGTGCGGATGTGTTATGGTGTGTGGGTGCCTGCATGCCTGCGTACCTGCGTGCATGCGCGTGTGCATGGGCAGGTGTACGTATGCGAGCGCGTGTGCATGGGCGGTATGGGCATTATACAGGCGTGTGGCCACGGGCGGGTGCGTGCGCGTGCGCGTGTGTGCAGGTGTGCAGGTGTGCAGGTGTGCAGGCATGCCTGCGTGTTCGCGTGTGCGCTTGCGCGTCTGTGCATTGAGTACCTGTGTGCCTGTGTGTCATTGTACCTGTGCCTATGCACTGCCTGTGCGTGCGCGTGCATGTGCGAGTGCGTGTTGCTAACAAATCGAGCAGCCCTCCAGCGAAGAGCACGCACTATACCTTGGCATCGGAAAGAGAGCGCCATGCTTGCAAACAGCAAAACACTCGTTCTTCGCTTGACTAGACTTGAGAAGGCGAACACCATGAGTGAAGGAGGCAGGGGTCAAATAGAGAGCTCTAGACACGCAGCGTGTATTGTAGGTTCGGCATTGTGCTAGATTGAGCTTATGTGTGGGAGGGCAGGCAGGCTTTCGTGATCTCTGGTGGACGAGAGTTCGGCTAAATTTTCACTCAGCAGTGGCGAAGGCTTACGCCCCAGGGCCCACTATGTGATCTGCCTCACTATATCTGATCACAAAGTATTCCACTATCCCTCTAAATTTGGGGCACCAATGCAAACAGCATAATTAGATTAGATCAAGCCATGAATTGGATGCTGATTTAAGCCCGAGCTCCGGGACCAGTCCTGATCCTGAATTGGGCCCACAGCCTCAACCGGCGGACGTCGGGCCAATTGCCGCGGGGCGCCCGCGATGATACCAGGAATCTCCACCTCTTGCCGCGAAGACTTCGGATGAGTTTGGGTTCAGAGAGGTTTCGGAACAGATCTCACAAAACATAAGAATTGCCCCACGCCACGGTGTGCAGAAGTGGCTGTTGGAGGCCACTGTGGGTGTTCCCTCGCCTGTTGTGACTGGCGAGGTACAGCTTGAGCAGCCACAGGGCCGTAACCATGAGCCACGCGTGTGGAATGAAGACAGACATGCCGGAACTAGATCGCAGCAGAAGGCAGATGGTCATGGCTTCCTAGGCAGACGTGAGAGGTCTCAAGTTCAGAAGGGGTGCAGGGCAGAGTCCGGTAGGGACGTAACTACCTACTGGATACCTACTTGATCCTATTGCCTGCCCCCAGCCAACAGCTCAGAATCCGAATGCTGGTTCACGGACCTCCGAGCCCAAGCAGAGATCTCCTCGCAGAACTCGGATAGGTTGCCTTTGGCAAAGCCACGAACGACCGAGTACACCACGCCCACCACGTTCATGGCCGTGCCAACCTGAAGAGCAAGCACACATCAAGATTGGCAGAGCCATGTGAAGCCGCATCATTGAGCGGAGGACCAGCCCCGGGCCAAGTGATGGTTCGACAGTTGGCCTAGAAGTTGGGTTCTTGTTGTTCGGACTGGTTTGGATTCGGATGTAGGGATAGGGCCGGCTGGGCTGCAGACATGCCACGTTGTCGTTCATGTACTGACAAAACATCCCGAAGGCAAGGATGCAAAACAGGTTCAGGAAGTGAAGACAGGATATTCTGGGCGGGATGACGAGGATGTACACCAATGCTAGGAATGATACCAGTGCATCGAAGCCCTGCGGCGTACAGATGATGGCAAAGCGGCAGCTGCACTGCACGACATCTTCCAACAGTGCACTGCAACGCTTCCGCTTGACCATCGAAGACTCCAGCTGCACGGCAATGGGCATAGCCTCGTCAAGGTGGATGCCGACGCCACGCAGCTCCTCCACGGCGGAGGCATAGTAGCCAGGGTCTGGGTAGCCATGGCGGGTAGGCCCGCCGCCCATGGAAGTTTTCAGGTGGATGGCAAAGGTGGGGCGCAGCCGCCCTGTAGCGCTGGATTGGCTCAGGCTGAACATGAGCCTCCTTCGAAAAGCAAGCTGAAACAGTGCCAGGAGATGTCGACCCTGCTCGTCATCTGGCAGAAACGCATGCAGGGAGCGTCCGTCGTATATCCGCCCACCCAAGCTTCCAGTGGGGAAATAGAAGTGTAGAAGGATAGTCCGACAACGGTAGCCCGACAGCGACCGGTTCCTTGCTCTGGTATTGGTCTGACACGCAGAAGGAACTACAATGGCTACAACCAGTAGACATCAGTAGACCATGGGCACCTCAAGGACTGACGAAGTGACCAGTTCTTCTTGGCACGGCTCAGGCTCAACAAAACTCAACAAAAGCCAGCCGTCGCCCTCATATGTCGAGCTGACCGATCTAAGAGGAATGTTCGAGATCCCGAAATCCACTCTAACCCACTCCCGGAGCCAGGAGGGCCCAGTCTACCTGATTTACTTCGCGGATAGTTCCTGACTTCATCCGGCTCGTTTGGCCAAGACTCAGCCAGCCCCATCGCATGTTTCCATCGGGCATATTGCCTGTCCGGTCTCCATAGCTCTGACCACAGGTGGGACCTCAGCGGTAGAAGGAGGTCGCAAGAAACGTCAAGGCAGGTGCGTGGGGAGGTGGTGGAGGTGGACGGTCCCTCAGTCAGCCGAGGGGGCATGTCGGCCTTCGCTGCAGCCATTGGTCGAGGCACTCTGCGTGGTACCTACAGCTCAGGCACATGGGGGGTTTACGAAGATCAGGGGCCCCGAATAAAGTCCCAGAAAGTCGGATTCCCTTACAATGAGGACCCAAGAAGGTAACCCTAATATCGGAAACCCCCACATGGGTATGGAAAGGTATGAAGGGGAGGAGCCTGTGACTGCAAGGCAACTGAAGCGTGGAGTGCCCTTCGAGGCAAATGCAGCAGATCTCCTCCTCTGGGCAGGAGCTGGCAACCTGGCCGGAACGAATGCATTACGATGCAGTTTGATGCACGGCCATACGCTTTAAAAAGATCATGCTGCACGGAGGCGCGGAGCATGTTCAAACACCGATTCCAAGAAGCGGATTCAAGCCCTGCCTTCAGTGCAAAGTCCCGGCTGCGGAGGTTTTTCTGCTCCGTGCTGTCGCGGGGCACGTTCTCAGCCAAGCAGAAGGACGTGTGTGCTTTTTTATTCATGTTGACCCACGGCTTCCTCCCACATCAGACCGACAACATGCGACATCTCAAGGCACGAATCTGGCCCGGCCATTTCCGCATCTCAGCAAGTGCGGCCAAAGCACCAGCTGTGGCTCTTCCGGCAGCGCCAGTGTCAAAACTGTGCCCATCGCTGGCAGGGTCACTGTGGCATGCGTGGTTTCAGACCGTTTGGAACTGAGAAGTTGAAGGGCTGCTGGGGGGCTGCTGTGTGGGGTCAGTGGACTTTCCGGTGCCTGCAACTTCTTTGCTGCAGGGCCATTTGATCGGCTCTTGCTCGGGACGGTATCTGCCAGCTTGGGCCGTAGACCGGGAAGCTAACCCCATTGACAACCCTGTAGTAGTACCATGCAGGTCATGTAGCTAGCAGCTAGTAGCTGGCACCTATGTTCACTCCACTCCCCCTGAAGCACCAGAAGGGTTAAGTGCCCAAAATTTACCAACCGCCCACCAGCCACTTGGGCCTCCGCGGCCTGTTTCTCCGAATCGCCGGGCCCCAACCTGAAAAGAGATCCAGAAAATTCAGGAGACAGCATAGACCAAGGTCAGGGATTTTCCGAACTTAGATTTTGTGAAGCATGAACAGCAGTGAACAAACTCAACCTAAGCTGCAGGGAGCAGCACGGCCAGTCTCAGGCACCAGCGCCTGGGGCGGACCTGACGCCTGGAAGGTGTCACCACTTAGCACGTCACGGCAGGGGCGTGTCAAGGGGCCAGGTTGTGAACCAACCTCCTGGATCTCTTCACTCTCCTTCTCGGCCATTTTGGCGGCCCTCCTGTCCGGCTGCTCGACAATGCCAGCTTCAAATGCCAAATGCACAAATATCCACAACAAAATCCAGAAAGCACTCCTGCTCAGCACGTACACGGGGACCGAAGAGCCGAAACAGCCAAGGCCACAGCTCTCACAGTGGATGTGGACACATGTGGTTACACGTGCTGACAGGGCAACACTCAGTACTTCGCGTGCGTGTTACTCGTCCCAAGCTGGGTCCGGACCGGAGCTCAGAAATAAGAATGCTTCAGGGCTCACGGTCCCTTTTGAAAGTTCCCGTACCCGGGATTACACTATTTTGGGGGAAATTAGGGGACCGCTATTTGGGGAAACCTCAGCCCCCCCGCCCATATGTCTATTCCCAAGGGTCCAATGTACCTGCAGCGAGTGTACGAAACAGGGTTTATATCCCTGGTTTGGTGGGTGTATTTAGGGTTCCTTATACATATCATATTGGTCTGTGTGTGTATATATACATATATCATCGGTGTCTTTGTGGGGATACTAGTCGTCAACACCATACGACTCTAAACCTATCTAAACCCTACCACCCGAATTCCCTCTGGGCAACAAACACGCACACACAAGAAGAGGCCAAACAACTTTGTTGAGTACATCGTAGGCAACGAAAAGGCCACTTACAACAAGTCCCAAACTAAATGTCAATGGTAACAAGTACAGGGCGAAATAATTGCGCAAGACGCAGACGAGGGAAGCTAATCTCCTGGCCGCACGAGTAACAAGCAGAACGAGCACGGCGCTTAGCAGTCCAGTCTACGCCTCCTGACTTGCAATGTGCGTGCAAGGCCCCGAGAGCCACGCACTCAAGAGCAGCGGCAAGTCTGCTTAACCTCTCACGCATGGTCACAGATGTCCCACCCAGGGCTCGAAGAATGCTTTTTCTTTTCGAGAGCAGATTCAGGTTTCTGCGGCCCCGCACCGGTCGCGCAGGACCGCGGGGCCTGGTGGAGCCAACTCTCTCGGAATGTCGGGGGGTCGCTTTGAGCCGTCGCCCCGCACACGGCCGAAGTGTTTTCAGCCGTAGCCTCTGCGGGGACTCGGCTTCCCTGTACATCTCCTACAGTATCCTACGGTCCTATGGGGGTCCTACGAACTTCCTGGCTTGATCTCCTCAAACTTGCCACTGGAGCCGCTGGAGCCACTAGAGCCGCTGGTGTCCTGCGCCCGAAAAGAACCGAAACAGCAAAAAAAAGAGCCCGTGGGCCTTATATGGCAGTCCCGCCTTTGGGCTCTCGCTCGGGGCCTCCTCTTTGGCCTCTGCCTCGCACAAGTCTCCAGCAGGGACCCCAGCTCCCTACCTGGGGGTAAGTATGGTGAAGTTACGCTTCCCCGGCGCACCTTTGGAATTTCGTGCCGGTACTCATTCTTCGCCTCGGTAGGTGGCACGGGATCAGTAGACATCCGCGGAAAAAAACACGTCGCTGGCTCAGGTGTCAGGCGTAGTCAAAGCCGGCTCCCTGGTAGACAAACATCTCAAGCACCTGTCAGGGTCTCGCATGTACCAGGAAGGCAAGCCACAGGGAGCCACAGGGGAGCCACAGGGAAACCACGAGGGAACCATAGGGGAATGATAGGGGAACCACAGAACCACAACAGCTGAGCGTCTTCAGAGTTTCGGCCGCTGCCTTGTTCAATCTGGACATGAGCACCCGCGGATCGTCGAGCGTGCCGGCGGCAATGCAAGCATTGTCGTACAGCTGCTCCACCTTAGCAGGGATGAGAACCAAGAGAAGCCCCCGCTGTGTATGGAAGCCTGCTGCAACTCCGCCATGACTCATGGATGCCCGCCATCAGACAGGGGCTCAAGCCGCGATCCGCGCGACGGGCTCATTGGACGCCAGGATCGTTGCCAGCCTCTGAGGGATGACGATGTGATACGGTACGTGCGCATGCTCTGAAGGGGGCCCAGGAGCGGAGGCGAGTCTGGGGAGGGGAAAGCTTGTTTTCTCCATCTGGCGGTCAAAGAGCTTGCAAGGGAGGCTGCCGGAGGACTTCTCGAGAAGCTCAGGGCTGCCGAGAGAAATGTGAGGTTTAGGATTCATCCCTGGCACGGGTCTGGTGCTTTAGTCGAACTGCACTCACAAATGTCCAGCTGATGAGGCGCCTTAATTCAGTTCATGCAGGCCTCGAGCGACACTGATTAAGCGAGGGTGCCTACTGAGTTAGCATACCAGGTTTGTTTTTCACCCAGGAAGCGAAATGGTAAACAGGAACGATGTCCAGCTCAGCTAGCTTGCCTGCTGCACTAGCACCCACCACTACCAGCAAAAGGAATGCCACCGCAGGCATGGTGTTATTACTCAGGCTGGCACGTCGTCACAATGTGGTGCTTTGGGCTGAGCTCTAAGGTCATGGGGATGTTGCCCCTGAGTTGCTGTGGCAGCGTCGTGCGATCTTGAACATCTGAGCTTTCAGCTACTAGACTGAGGCACCCACAATCCGTCATTCTCCTGTGCAGTGCCAAAACACAAAAATGCAGGGCCGGACAGAACACTTCCAGCCTTGCCAGCCATTAAGCTCTTCATCATCTTGCGCATGTGCGGGGTGATGACGCTGGTCCTGCAACGGGCCAACGTCCTAGAAACCTTTTCCACCGGGCAGTGGATCTTCCTGCCGATACCCTGGGGGTCCCTCGAGAAGGCCAGTGTTGCACTGTTCCGAATAAGGGAACTGCCTCCCTTTCAATTCGCGCTTCCTCTTTACGTGTGCTTCTGCGTTTTTGGCTGCTAACCCCCCAGGCTTCGGAGCGCAATTTTCGATTCCCACGGAGGCCTGAGTCGGACTCGTGTTTCGACTTTGGGAAAATGGCAACAAGCCCCAAACTTTAAGGGGAAAGCTGCGCATCATGACTTTCGCCTACCCCCGCGTCACACGGAAGCATCACAAAAGCGCCGCAGAATCCCGGAGCAACACGGCCACCAGCACCCGCCCCCGGCTGAAAAAAGTGACTGTGGCGGAGTCCACAACACTTCAGGATCTGAGGTGCTGGCACAAGCGCTGGAGAGTTTACAAGTCGCTCCGAGAATTTCACCTCCTGCACCTCCAGCATGGAGAGCTCACGGAAGAACAAACATCAATGTCTGCCCCTTGATTCATGCCTTCTCCTTCAGCACGTCTCTGATGAACTTCTGCATTTCATCTTTTTCTTGCTGGGTGAGCTCCCTCTTGTCCTTAACATTCGGCAACCTGTGCTACCCTGAATTGAACTTGAGATAGCACAGGAAGCCTGTTGCTATTGCACTGGCGAGACATGCCTCCTTGTCATCCTCTTCGGGCTTGTCCAAGTCCAGCCTGGATTGCGCAGCTTGACGTGGCCTCTTCTTGACAGCCAGGTACCCAAGCCCGCCACTCAAAATTCTTGTCAGCTGAATCAACCGACACCAACTTGCTGTCCTCCACTCCAGTGTCGCTCAAGACGGTAAGATGTGTCACATAACGTGAAGCCACGCCTTGAAGCCCTCGATCGCATTGACCTGTGTGCCAAAAACACAGAGAAAAACACCATCACACGGACGGCTCTGAGATTCTGAGACCATGCTGAGGCCGGGCACGACGAACTCGTCGATGTCCTCGTACATCAGGAGGACATTCCGCCTGCTGCTACCACATTCGAGTCATGTGGCATCGAGAAGGCAGCCGGGGCATTGCTAGAGAGCCCTAGGGCAGCCGCTGTCTCTGCACGAACCTCAGAAAAGCGAAAAACATGAAGCAAAATGGCACACAAAAGTGTCAGAGACGCTTCGCGCGGAAAAGCTTCGCGCTGCTCCATGTATGGAGACGACAGCGCTGTCTGTCGGTCAGGACCTGGCTCGAACTCCAACTACTGCAGCGGCGTAGCGCTGCAAATGTTGGCAAAGCGCTTTCCATGTGTGGCCACACTTTTTGCGCTCAGAGCAACGCAGCAGAAGTAGTAGATGTTCTGCTGTCCCTCCTTTGCCATGCTCATGTATTCCTGCACAGCAAGGCGCACAAGACAATGCGCGTGTGGTGCTTGATGAGCGCTGCACGTGCGCTGCCTCTAAAGACACCAGCTCACCCTTGGGCTTGTTGGAGCACCTGGAGCGCGGAAGACTGAGGGAGGCGGAATGTGGGTAAGGCAAACCTGAGAGCTCGGGCTCGAAGCGTAGAAGCTTCAAGATGTCATCCTTGTGACCTCTGTGGCTCCATTTCCCTTCGATGTGACCCGGCAGACTCGTGCGTGACTCATGGTACCATTGAGGGTGGTACGACTGAAGTTTCCTTCCTTATCCTCGATGATTCCTGCCTAAGGTCAGTCTTGCTGTGTCTTGCAGCCAATCTATCCTTTATCTCTGCACACCTCCCTGCAACAAACTGATGTCTCTCGCCTTCAGGAAGTACGAATAGCCCTTGAAAAACTTGTTGTACTTCTCTGAGTCCTTCTTTGCCTGCCAATGCTTGAACCGTTCAAGTCACCGTTCAATGAGACAAACCCAATCTCTGTGGACCGCATTGCGGATGCCCTGTGAAACACGAAGACAAGGCAAAAACCCTGCGAACTTTGCACTTTGCAACTCGTTGCACCTGATGGACATGTACTATGTGCGGGCTTAAGCGGCCTCCTGCTGCAGGAATCGTAGAATTCGGCGCACGACTGCCATGCTGAGCCTGCGTCGAGTCCAAAAGAAAAGTTCAAAATTGGTCACGAGGCGGCCAAGAAGAGGGCCAAGAAGAGAATTAAAAAAAAAACAAAGCCAGTCAACGCAGGTCAAAGACGAGCCAAACAGGCTCACAAGAAAGAGTCGAAATTACAGCGTCCTGCATTGTCACTTGTGCCGCTTGCACGATCAGGCTCGGGCTTCTCCATCAGGCGGGTGTCTTGCATGTTTTCTCGGCTGATGTTCCTTTCATGGCTGAGAGGCTGCTGTGGCAATGTACTCTCTGCATGAGTGGCTCAACACAAGCACACTCACTGCTGCTGAGGTACATGGGCATGTCTTCGCAGTCAACAACGCCCTGCCACGTGACAAACATCTCATGCTGGCTTAGACTTGCAAGGCGTAGCCACAACTGACACAGAGAGCATGCCGGAAGGTTTTCCGGCATCTCTGTACGGCATGTCATGGCCAAGCCTTCATCCAGTGAAGCCACTTCGGAATGACACCATCTGCGTGCTTCTTGACCATGACTCGCCGAGAGTGCAGAGAGATCTTGGCGAGAGTGAGTGTGCAAGTGGGCATGCAAATCCGACAGCACGCTGTGACCCTGACCACCTCTGTCTCTCACCGAGCCCTGCACACCGATTTCAGGATCCTTGGTAAAGACCCGGCTGGGTGCGTTGTCAGGATCTGGAACGTAGAAGCAACCTCGACGCAGGCTTTGTCTTTGGGTCTGCCTTGTCAGGGCTTCTCAGGTCTCGCTTTAGCTGAGCTGCTTTTGATGGACAGCGGAGCATCCGTCTGATACATCCTTGTGAGGCGCACTCCGAACTCCCTACTCTGCCAAAACTCTGCATCGCCGAGACCCCTGCAAGGTGTAGTACGGCTTTCCGTATGAGTTGCCGCTGAGGAAACGAAAGAACCTCACTTTGGATCAACATGCTGCTCTTCCCTTGCCCTGCTGCCACAAAACTGTTTGAACTACATGTGCTCAGACGGGAAAGAACGTCGAGCGGCTCCAGGTGCTGCTCCTCTGTCGCTGAGCTCTTCATCCACAGGGCCTGCGGTGACAAAGCCGTGGCCTATATGAGATCTCCATCTTCAAAGCTGGCACCTCCTGCTTGTTGATCGGCTTTGGATCTCCATCCTTAAGAGTTCTCCCCGATTTTGCAAAGAAAGTCTCGCAGAATCGCTGCCACATGCTGCGACTGAGGGACTTCTTTCACGTTGATGGGGAAGTCAATGAAGGAGGAGAACCTTGGCTGCTTGGTCACCAGCCTTCATCGTTGGTGAATGAGTCAATCTGAGAGTGGGGGCTTTTGCGCAGACTTCTTCACCGTTGCCTCAGAACCCAAGAAGAGCAGGGCACATGCCCCAAACAAAATCACATGCAAGCACATCATAGTCTGGAGCCAACTTGGCAAACTCTGTGGCATCGTCTTTGAGAGTTAGCCTCAGGGAAATTTTGTATGATTGCACGGACGACAGAATAGACCACGAGAATGGCGAGGGACTCGATGCGAGTGCCCCGAGGCACGTCGTCGACCTCGGAGACGGTGAAGCTACCAGAACCTCGGCGGAGGAAGTTGGGTATCTCCCGTGATCGGGGTCCCCGTCAGACCTCCCAGAATACCGGGAAATCCCTATTCTGGAAGACGAGCCCATGGAGGACTTGAGCTGTGCACCGTCTGAGGTCCACAGATAGCCCTGTTCACCTTTCTCCTTGTCAGCCGTCTTGGTGTAAACCTGCGTGTCACAAGTTTGAATCCTTTTTGTGCGACTTATGCGCCCTCGCTGCGCCTCCACCTTGTCTGCCACCACAAAGGTTGAGTAAAAACCCACACCGAACCTCAGATCGGAGAGAGCTCTAGAGAAGAGCACGGGCAAAGACCCCTGAAAACTAACCAGATTGCTTCGTAGTCCTAACGCTCCCGTCCTTTCCCTTCCGGTGTTTTCATGGCACCCCCCAGGATCCCTCTAAGGATCCCTCCAAGGAACCCTCTAAGGAGCCCTCGAAGGAGCCCTCTAAGGAGCCCTAAGGAGGGAGCATCAAGGAACCCTTACTCCCTGAGAACCTTGTGATTCGAGTTCTGCGCAGGGCCCCCGTGACTCTCGATTCTGGGACTCTGACTGCCCGATGATCTTACTCGCATCGGACTCCCCACCTCGTCATGGCGTTACGATGAGCTTAGCTTAGTGATGAACGTGACAATCTGCAAAAAGCTCTGTGCGCGCGACGCTGAAGGAAGTCCAGCGAGCCACTCTTGGCAATCGTGCCCAGGTGCTCCACCTCAGACTTTACTGGCACAGCGGTACTTCAGCGTTAGGCACTGAGCCCATGGTCTCCCACACATTTGGGCCCCTCCTTTTCTGAAAGCTTGCAACAATTCGAACGGGGACCCAGGATCAGGCTTCGCCCATGCCTTTGATGACGGTCGTTTGGTCCAGGGATGTCTTCAGGTCCCGCGGCAGATCACAGAAAACTTCCGATTCGCTGCCCTCGGCGTTCAAGAATCGAAGCCGGTGGCGGTGCAGCCAATTCCGTGCACAGAGCAGGGTGTCGAAGTTGAAGGTGGCAGCGCCCGCATAGACGCGATCACGGACTGTCGGGTGGCCGATGTGCGCCATGTGGCTGCGTATTTGGTGCTTGCGGCCCGTTTGAATGTACAAGACCAACTTGCTCAAAGCTCCAATGAGGTCGTGATGAAGGTAAACGGAGTTGCTACTCAAGTTGCTTTGTCTGAAGTTGCTTTGAAGAACTTTCGTGGAGGCTGGCTTCCCGCGGCCACCGCAGAGCGTCGGACGATCTTCTTCGCACCAGGTGCTCGCCTCTATCTCGCTGATGGATCTTGGCAGCCAGCCGTGGCAAAGAACCGTGTAGTTCCGGCCCAGCTCGCCCGCATGTAGCTGGACCTGCAGATCGTAGAAGGCCTCGTAGGTCTTTGCTACAAGGATCAAGCCAGAGCTCGGGACATCGAGACGGTGCAGAAAGCCGTGGTTGTGATCCGGATCCTGGAAGATAGGTCGGTGGCCTAAGACACCCAGAACAAACGTCGACAGCTGCAGCTCCACATGCTGGCCATACACCTCCCAGCCCTCGGGCTTGTAGAAGACGGCTCTGTCAGCAAAGTTGCCGACCACTCGAGGTTCTTCGCACCCGGGGAATCCGGAGCGGATTCTTGTTTCATTCCATATATTCCATGTACCTGGATCGGAGATGTGTTGCCTCGTGTCTAGTAGCTGACCCACACTCCGCAGCATCTTCTGAAATGCCAGGTAAGAGCGAGCACGAAGACATCCAGCACTTCTGCAAGAGAAGATGATGCCCAGGAGCTCCATACCATCGCCCGTGAATGAGAAGTGGTTAAGAGCTGCTCCTCGCACCGTCCTGACACGCGCAACAACGTCCTCCTGCACCGCATCGAGAAAACCGACTGCAGAAGCCATTGAAGCAGCAGCAAAGATGATGCTCATCTCCGGCCAACTGAGAGAGGGAAGCTGCACCACCGTTTTCTCCAGCATGAGTTCCTCGAAAGACTGGTTACGGGTACGTGCGCCAAGCATTCCCATGGACCACCATATCATGGAGAGGGTATTGGCTTCGAGCTCCATGGCTTCCACAGCAAGTGCCTCAGCACAAGCTGCATGGATGACGTCTGGATCTGAGACGCGCAGGGTTGCCAGTGCCCACAGGAAACTTTGCGAACTCCGCAACTGATCCGATTCAACGAGCAGTTGCATAGCTTGCCCCTCTTCTCCGGACTCGCTGGTGGCGAGCAGAGCATAGTCGAACGAAGCAAGTGATGGGCGCAGGTCCACGCGGCACATTGATGCAAGAACACTGACTGCGAGGCTCCATGTCCGGCTCCGGTAACTAGAATACGCTATTGCCCCAAAGGCCACGTGATTCGGCTGCAAATCACAGGCGCGCGTGGCTTCCAGAACTTGAAGGGATGTCTGCCATGTGAGACCACAGCCGCATGCATGTATCACTGAACTTTGCGTGATCAGATTGCGTTGGATGCGATGGTCGTGCAGCTGTACCATCAGAGACAAAGCCATCTGCCATGCGGCGCTCTCTGTCCATGCACTGATCGCGGCATTGTACACAGAGACTCCGGCAAGGCTTCTCCCCCTACACTCTTCCATCAATGCAACACTGGTCATCCACTGAGATGCTTCCAGACAGGCACTCATGGCTGCTGAATATGACACATCATCCACAGGCACATCAGACAAATGGAGCGCTGCAAAAAGCTCCAAAGCGTACCGCCATTGCACTCGCCCAACTGCACGAATCGCTGCATTGAAGGCAGCAGTGTCTGCCACGGCAGCCTCGGACATGTTCCAAAGCAGCTCCAGTGCATGGCGCCATTGCTTTGCTCGTCCACACACAGACACAGCTACCGTGCACGGCATGCGCACACTGGAGTCTGCAGGCGCACCCTTGTGCTGATTCCTCCACAAGTGGAGGAGCCAAAGAGTTGTGCACCAGTCCTCGCCCTTATCGCAGGCAGCGAAAGCTGCATTCAACGCGGGCCCATCTATCGACAGGCGTTCGCGTTGCATCTCTGCGAAAAGCTGAAGGGCTTTGTGCCATTGGCCACCATCCGTGCATGCAGCTGCCACAGAGGTGTACAGGGCAACATCAGACTCAATCGTCTCATCCCGAAGTTCCTCTAGCAAGGCCAATGCATGCTGCCACTGCTCGGCCTTGCCGCAGGCGCTCACTGCTGGTGTGTGAGTCAAGAGAGTCCCTGTTAAGCGGCTGAGTCCCAGGTCCGCAACCAAGCACAAAGCCTGCTGCCAAGAAGCTTCACAAGCACCTAAGGCTGCACTGTAGGCAATGACATCTGCAAGCTGTTGCGCGCGGAGCTCTGCAAACAGAGACAATGAGGTTTCCCACTCCGTGCAACCACAGGCTGCGATGGCTGTAGTGTAATGCCCGACATCCGCACAGCTCCTGCATTTGCTGTCGCTCAAAAGCAGCAAGGCGCTTTCCCACTTCGCGCTGCTGCCACAGGCTGTCATGGCAATACTGACATGGGCGGCATCTATCTTCAAGTCCTGCATCAGCATGCCGACTAGCAAAGAAATTGCATCTTCCCAACGCCAGGCCTGCGCCATCGCTTGCAGGGAGTATGCGAAGGTGTCGGTATCAGGAGCAACATGCAAGGCTGGCATGCAAGCCAGAGTATCCACAATCAATTGCCACTGCGAGCGCCGAGCCAAAGCTGTAATGACCGTGTTGCTCGACACCGCATTGGCCAGTACGCCACGCGAAGGCATACTAGCATAGAGCTCTAGTGCCTTTCTCCAGTCTCCGCCTTTTCCTAGGGAATTCAACACGATATTATAAGCAACCACGCCGGGGTCAACCTGAAAATGAGGCATCTCTGACAGAATGGCCACAGCTGCTTCCCATCTGACACATCTGGCACAAGCAGTCAGCACGGCAGAAAGCAACATTGCGTCTGGAGTCAGAACTGACCCCATCACCTGCTGAAGAATGTGCAAGGCAAGGGTCCAGCTGGCAGCTGTATGGCAAGCTCCGATGATGCTGGTGTAGCTCACGACATTGGGCACTACTTCCAGCATGTTCATGTTCTGCAACACATCGAGAGCCAGAGCCCATTGACTGTGCTTCCCACAGCTGGCTATTGCCACGTTGCAGTGTGGGATGCACAAAATCCTTGCATCCTGCATTGCGCGAAGAATCTTCAGCACAATGGTCGGCTTTACCCGTAGATTCTTCAACGCACTGGTGGCAAGCTTGGGTTGAAGCTTCCAGTCTTCCAGCAGGGGCTGGAGTAGCAAGGCAACCTCTTGGGAAGTTTGCGATGGCCGCACTTGTTGACACAGTTTGTGTGCTCGACCTGGGTAAGCCAGTGTCCACAGTCATTCTTTGCCCAGCTTTGCTCACTTCACACCTATGCCCTTCAATCCTTCAACTACGATTGCAGAGTCTCTTTGCCTCTGAAAATCCCGAAAAACA